CATCTGCAAAGAATTACATATAGCCACCCGTTGAAAATGCAAACGTGTGATTGTCATAAAACAAAAAGAAAAATGTGTGTTTCCGGTGTGTTTAGACAACCTTGATGTTTGTACGCCTTAACAGGTGACTTGTATCTTAGCTGCAGATTAGAAATGTAGCCACTGAAGTACAACCACTAACCTAACGCGTGCCGGTACAAAACTCATCCAGATCAAAAGGGGCAGGGGGTGGGGATCGAACCCGGGAGCTTCTGCAGCGCAAGCTTACCCTCCACGCTCTGAGTTGAAACGGCGATTACATTAGCAGATTTCGTTGATCGTGTTCAAATCAGTTCTGAGCGTGAGAGGTATATTTCAATCTCCATTTTTTTACTAAACAATAGAACGGACAACGAGCTTCATATTTAATTTTCATCGTATCGATCTGCCTGAAGAGGACATACGGTGGGAGCAAAAAAAAAAATATCCCCAAACACTTCCTGCTAACACCTTATAAAATATAGAGACTGACCATACATCGAGTAAGTTGGAAGGGCTTGGAATACTTACGAATGACTCCCAAGAAGTACGATCGCTGGAGTTACGCTGCTAAATAAAGTGTGGCTTCGCAATTTTTTCACGACCCTGACGTAAGGGAATGCAGCCTTTAAAACATTCCGGACTTTTTTTTTTTTTTTTTTCAAGGCTTGCGTTAATTGACGCCAGAATCGTAAGATGCTCTTCGCCTACGCGATGGAGTTGACGTCTCGGTTCGGTGCTCTGATCGGAGGGTAGGTGCACAAGAGGACGGTGAACTTCCTTGTGAAGCATGTTTTACAACGGTAGCCGCGTTTGCTCTTTGAAGCGGTCCGGAAATGAAATGACGTAAGTGCGAGCTTTCCACAACTCGCTGCAACGTCGGCCAGCGAGTAGCGCAGTACGTAACGCGCTCGTGGGTCGTGACGTAGACAGTTCACGCACGGTCAAGGGTAGTGTAGTTGCGAGCCTTGCCGTTTTGTGCCGTGAACGTTGGAAAATCTCGCCTAGTAGTATAATATCCGAGGACTGCACGCCGTATGGCAGCTATACATAGCTTGCAAAAAGTAAAGTCATTGGTGGCCATGCCGGTATTTTATGTGCCACGATCTTTCGGTTCACAGTGTTAATTTCCCAGCACAGATATAGTAGCTCGAGGGAACCATCTAGTAGAAGTAACCGTCAGTACGCAGCAATGGCGATACTCGCAATATTTGAGCGCTTTATTCACAGCCTGACTTGTGCTGGCTGTGAATACTCTCACATACTCTACTCAAGATACTGTATTTCAAACACTTTTGTTACTATTTCGGTATCCTGCAAAAACGTAGACTTTGCGCTAAGCGCGTCCCGTCGGCATGCGCTTAGCGCAAAGTCAGTGCTGTGCTTATAGTGCTCCGGTGTATGTGTGAACAAGCATTTAGAGTTTCGTCAATATGCCCCAGCCCCGCCACTTTGCTTAGACGTCTACTTCCCCTTTCACGTAGTGCTCTTGACTAAGAGTTTTATTAGATTAATTATTGGTTAACCGATATTGTGATGTTCATCACATTAGCTTTTTTTTTCCTAGCTGAGTGCATGCCGCAAGCTCTCCTAATACCACACCCCTATCTTTGTATTTCTCAGAAAGCTGTCGGGAAATAACGACGCTCGTGCCCTGTGCTATTGAGGGTGAAAGTATTTACCATTTGCATATTATATATTGATTATCGTTCCACAAGTAAAGAAAAAAAAAAGTATCCTTCTCCCGAAAAACACCGATTCCGCTGGGTAACCGCATAGGAAAGAACGAATAATTTGCCGATCTGCAGCCGCGTGTGCGGTTACATGAGCTGCTCTGTGACGTACTCTGGGGGATGTCGTTTGTAAGTTAGCGATCTGTGCAATTTTGTGCTCAATTTAAAGGTCACAGAACATCCACATTGTGGCTGTTCTGTGACCTATTTATGCTATTTTTAACGTGAACCTTATTTAGAAATTTTGTTTCGTTTCCTTTCATAGAGTGCAAATTAAAATATTCTGGTAAACAATATTTCCGCCAGTGCATACGTGTGTTTGTCACTGGAGTCGGTACATATTACGCTATACAGAAGGACATTTCGCAGAAATTTAATATATGACAAATATTTGAACTCTATTCAATATATTTTCAAGTGAAAGTAACTTGAGCAATAGCTTATATTCGTCTTTACTCTGTCGTTGTCGCGCTCCTTTAAACCAAGATTGACGAATAGTCTTATGCCCGTGCTTCACGAAACAGGCATTTATTAACTTATCGCAAATACACGTCTCGATTGTCTAGTCTAACACTGACGCCTATGAACAAAAAAAAAAAAAAAGAAACGCAGAGGAAACGAAAAGAAAACTGAAAACGAGGAGGAGTGTGAGAAGGATTCTGCACTTGATTAATTTTAGCAGGAAAAGGTCAAACAAGCAAAGGGAGGAGTGCGAAACAAAAACATGACCTTCAAGGAATTGTGCTTTCATAACACCGCTAACGACATGTATGATCGGACATGTCTACGTTTATTTTTTTTTTGTTTTTGTTTTACTTTAGTGGACTGAAACACACAAAAAAAAAACGAATCGGCACTTCGTCTTTTAAAGCCGTAGCCCCTTTAAGTTTTAGTATCCCTTAGATGGTTTTAGAATAATGCATTCATAGCAAATTTAGTACCATCTTTGGAATGTTTGTGTAAATTATTTATAGGCCCCTATTTTTTGCGACTTTTATGTATCCAATAGTAAACTGCAAGTCAGGGCTGCAGCGTCAATTGGAAAGCACAATGTGGAAAATATTAAAAATTTTGTATGTCCATACATTTAGCGGAATATTCTATATTGTGACAAGCTGTGGACAAATACGTACATTTCGATTACAAAAAAACAAGTACCCCTCCAGCCACACAGATTTATTCGCTCCTCGCTGCCTCAGCACCAAGGGTTTCTTCGCTGTTTGTAGGTTTGTAGAAAAATTCCAATAACAAAATTGTTCTATTTGGGCACATAACACGCCAAAACGTTGCATGCTTCAACGATGTCCAATGGCACGAAAAACGTTTTGTGGTGTCGGACTAAAACGCATGTAAATTCCAATCGCTAATTGCTGTGTTCAAAAAGAAAGAGTTCACCAAGCCCAAGCAACATTGTCATAAGAAACCAAAAAAAATCGGACTCTGCAGACTAAGGCTTCTTCGTAGTGTTTTGTCTCTGACCGTATGCAGCGCCCTTATCTATTCTGCAATTTTCTTTCTCCGGATGCTTCAAATGGATTGCTATATTTGTTTAGACTTTAAAAGTTCGAGGGGTTGCCGGCAGGAGTTTTACAAGCGCAAAGGCCCGGTCACACACTTGCGCTTGCCTAAGACAGAATTCTTATGATGCTTTACGACGAGGGAGCACACAGGCATGCTGGCGCCATCTATGAAATGACCCTGAACTGCATTTCCCTAGAGCAAAGGTATACGGCAAGCAAGTGTTCTAAAATGCGTCTTTGGCGCATCCGAACGCAAGCAGGGGCACGCAAATTAAAAGGAATCATAGAGAATGCAATAGAAAACGTACGATGACGAGGCAGCCAAGCTCGCGCCGTCATTGGCTGAGGTCGGGGGTAAACAAACGCATGTGCGCGCATTTGATAGGAAAACAAATCGCACGTGGCGCCCAAGGAGCAGACGAACCTGCGTGACGTATTGCGCTGTTTGCGATATCAAATCTACGTATTATCTATGAAAGCTTCCCATTTATAACATTGCGAGAGGCTTTTCAAGCCAAGAAAGAAAGATTAAAGCTAAAGAAGAAAAATAAAAATACAGAATCGCCAAAACTTCCACGGCAATCCGCTAGATGGAGCCCTAGTCTGTTCTCTCATTGAAATGTATCTTGAGGGGTTGTCAGGCACACGGTCGTAACGAGTCGCAAGTGTGTGAACCTGCCTGAGCACGTCGCGGAGTAAAGCTTTGGCTCTCGTTCATATCCAAACAAATAATAAGGGCACGCCAGTTCATTCCAAAGCGACGTCGTGAGATTATTGCTGAAAAAGGATCCCGGATCAAACAAAAGTATTATGACGCCAAAAGGTGATTTAAGTTAGCACGAAATGAACTTAGAGGTATCTGTGTTCTTTACTCACGAATATGAGAGACCCCGAGAAATAGAAAACGCGCTGCTTCTAATTAAGAATATCCTCCACCCAATCAAGACAAGCTTGAATTTCTCAAGTCTCGTGTGTTTTCTGAAGTAATGTTGATAATTTGTTTTTATTCTTAATATATCTTAGCAGGTGAAACCAAGGGGTTACATGGAGTATAAGAAAATCTCGAATCGGTTTTAGAAGCATGCTAGAATCCGCATTTTTGCTCCCAACAAAATGTACCTTGATCATATTTGTATTTTACAAATACTTTTTCTTATTTTCTTCAAGTGCATACTTCATAAATATCGCGATACCTTTTTATATGTGTATTTTAGCATCGATAGATTAGCTATATTTGTCATGCATTCTAGTATATTTGTACTTCAAATTGCTTTTTTTGGTTATTTACAAGTACGTTTGTTCTAAAATTAAATCCCTATTATTTTACTTTCAGTTAGTTATCATTTTACTTCATATTTTCTGGTCTTTAGCCTTTATTGTTTTAAAGAAACCAAGACAGGATATTTATGTTATATTGTTCTTTAGCATTTGTTACGAGAAAGATAAACGTACCCACAATGTTACTGGGATATTGTAAGCGTGTGGGCTAGAGCACATCGTACTTTGAAACCTAAAAACATGTGTACAAAATATAAGAAGCATGTCGCACTGCTCCTCTCTGCGGCAAGTTCAGCAAGGTATACAAACTATCAGATACAAATCAACACAGCGTGCAGGTCGAAACAGATAGAAAGACCAGAAATTGTGCTGTACATAACGTGAACAATTTTATTCTCATCTTCCGTCGATCTTCAAAACGCGACTCAGGTTTGTATGATATGTCCAAATGTTATAATTGTATTCGCTCATCAAAAATGCATTCCCCATTTTTGCATATCTGTTGATAAAAATGTTTAACGCAAAAGATGCAAATTAGTGCCATTTGTAGATGATGAGGGGTACCTGAACACATTATAATAATAATGATAGTGTTTATTTCCACCATAAGATGATGGTGGCGATCAGGAAAAAAAGCTATGAGGTACAGCTTGACGGGTTCCTGACCGCCTACAGCAGCAGCGACAGAGTGGGGAAATAATACAGCAATCAAAGGAGAAACACAAATGTACAGAAAATGATCGCCATCACGACATGTTAAGCACAATACCTTAGATTATCACAATGTTGACATATAGGGCATGACGGGCAAACAAAAACAAAAAGAAGCTCATAGTATTAAGAACAAAACACGGAGTAAAGAGAGCAACTACATCACTGAAAAAAGGGTGACCTCACTTCACTTAACGATAACTTGTCCCAATCAATACCTTTAGCTAAAAACATATTAAATAATTTGGGAACAGCGTACATTTCAACGTTTGTGTGCCATAGTTTGTTCTCGGTGTGACCACCTCCCAACATTCAGCTCCGCGGGTAGAGTAACTATGAGTGTGTTTCGAGATTTGTGCAAGATTTATAAAAAAATACGTATTTCTAATTTGCTCCACTTTTAGGCTAGTGGCAAGCCTGCAATCATATATTGTGTGAACATTTATGACTTGAAATTTTTTTAATAAGCTAGCTGCATGAAAGTCAAACGGGACATCCCCCATAGCTCTAGGTGCTTTCTTTTGCAATACATGCAGCTTTTCTAGATTAGTAAAAGTCGTTGTACCCCAAACTAAGTGGCAGTATTTTAAGTGAAAGTGGAATAGAGAATTATATATAATAATTTTACTTTTTCTGGCAAAATATAACGATGACGATTTAACATGTCCACAGCCCGGGATAGCTTTCGAATAAGGTAGTTTATATGATTTTCCCACGACATATTCTCAGAGAAAGTAACACCTAAGAGCTTAAAGGAGTTTACCATTTCAATGTTGCTAGAATTTAAATTTAGGTCTTTTGTAATGTTTACAAGTTTATTTTTCGAGCGAAAAAGCACGGCTTTTGTTTTCGTCACATTTATTTGCAACGCATTGTTCTCACTCCATATTTCTAATCTAGACAGAGTCAGGTTTGCCATATCAATTAAGGTATCAGCATTATTTGAATTAAAGAGTATACTTGTGTCGTCAGCTTAGTTGACAAATTTTGCATTTGGATTAATATTGGTAATATCATTAACATATATATTAAAAAGGAGGCCATTCGGTATTTAAAATGTGTTACGCAAAATTGGTATAGTTAAAATGTTTTACGCGTATATAGGGTGGTCCAAGTAGCCAGGCTCGATCTAAAGAGGACCGTAAAAATCGACGCCTGCACGTAGCAATCTAAACTTTTCGCCAAAGGTGTATTTCACAGGTCGGTTTTTTCTTGTAAAATTACAAAGCGTAGTTTTTTTTTCGTAAAAAATAAGGCCAAGAAACGTACCTGGGTCTACGGCGGGGAGCGACGCAGACGACAGGGGTTCAGTAGCGGGGTGTGTTTTGCGTTCGTATTGATAGATGGCGTCGGGAGCAGCGTCCGAAGGTGCAGCCGACCAGCGAAAGAAAGCAGACGACACGCAGACGAAATCCGTCGGCAGCACTGATCTCTATAACAATTGCTGGATTGCGTTTGCCCGCTCCGCGAATGTGGCCACTGGCGGCCATCTTTTTGGTAGAGTTATATTACCTCTAGCCAATCTCAGCTGCTGCAGCCACTACACTCTAAGAAAAAAGGGAGGAGGAAGGTAGCAAAAGCGACTGTTCCTCCTTGTTGCGGACAAGTTGCCGAGAGGAGGGAGGAACGGCAGTTCAGATGAAAGGAGGAGGGCGAGTTCTTCCTTGTTCAGTTGGCGCAGGGGTAGAACATCGAGCTACTGACCAAAGTGGTCAACGGTTCGATCCCCAGGAAAGTGGGTTTTTTTTTGTTTTTTTTTTGTAAAGTTTTTTTTTTATTTTTGTTTACCAAAACACACATAAACAAACCCATACCGATGAAAGGAAAATTAAAGTCCTTATTATTCACCGAGACGTTTTCCTCTTTCTCCAGGCAGACCGGAGAAAGCTTTCGCCCTCCCGACCCATCTTTTTTCGGTTTCGTTTTTCGAGCACATCGTGCACGTTGTTTAATAAATTAATGTTGAGTTGATTGAGCTTCAGCGGCAGCGAAGGCCGCCTGTAATTCCGTCTTTTAGTCCAAACGTGCAGAACATTTCGGTTGCATTGACGTTTTTACCACTAATTTTATCAAATGAGCTAACGAAGCCGCTAGAAACAGCGAAGTTCCGGAGCAGTGCCAGCAGCGCTACATACACTGGGTAAGACGGCCGTCTCCAATTTGCGGGACACACGCGGAACTACAGCAGCGAAACCACGAGGAACTGTGTCGACGTTTTCGACGTTATGGAAATCGCGGGAACTGCGTCCAAGGAAGGCAGGTTTTCCTGCCGGCTGCCTGGGTGCCTTCCGTGCTGAGTTCGGTTCCGTTGTCCCGTGCCGAGTGCCAACCAGCGTTCAACGTGATTCTTCTGCGTGTCAGCAACATCGCCAACGTGGTTCTGTATTTCTTCGTGTCAGCGACATCGTGATGGCAGTGTTGTGGGTTGTGAACAGAAGACTGGAATTATCGCCGATGTGACCGTGTGTTCGCGTATCAGTGGTGTAACAACAAGATGAGATGACGTAAACTGTCGGGCATTGATGCCGCTAGTCGGGCCGTTATCGGAGGGGCCGGGGTGTCGCAGGATGACATTCCGCTTTACATTAAAGAGTTTAAAACCACTTGAGGGATTAGGTGCAGTCGATCGACGTGTTGATAGTCATGTTGGAACGCTGGTCTGAACGGTAAGCTCCTATCGTACAGTGGCCAATCTGACTGTCGGTCCCCGAGAGCGATTGCGCTCTGGGGAAAAGACAACACTACGAAAGTATGACGGAAAGTACGTGTATTTATAATCGAAGTTCAGCATAAAAAAAAAAAAGACAGGCAAAATCGAAAAAAAAAAAACGCTATCCTTTATTTTACTGTTTAAATATATTACGGTTCCTGTAGAAACTGCCCTCTAAGTGGCGCGCTGGGATGAGCGCTAGAAGTTTTCGAGCTCGCAACGGCGCAGCTCCGTACACGCCGTACACTTAACAGTTGTCGGAAGTCGCGGCTTTGACTGCATTCAAGTTGATCGAAAAGCGATTTCTGTGCCCGTGAAGCATCACTTCCAGCTGAGTGGATATCCGCTCTACAGAGATTAATTCAAGACGGCAATTGCAGCTTTGCGCGAACAGCACAAATAGAAAAACGAACACTACAATATAAATACTGGCTACGAAGGGCCATGCGGGAAAACAAACTCATGGCTTGGAACCACATTGGAGCGGCTCGATTTATTGGCTTTCAAATAATTATGGCATGATCGAGCGTCTTCTTTCTAATAAGAGATTCATCCCCTGAGCCATTAAAAATAGCCTCAGATGTATGACATTGCTGGAAAAAAATGAACATGTTCGGAATATTTTTTTTTGCTTAGGGAGTCACCGAAAAATTCCGTACGTTCAAAACGACCACTATAAAAGACGGAAACGCAGGTCTCGGTAGTAGTGATCGGGGTAGTGTACTGTTGTATTGATGATTGTATGTGCGATGCCTGTGTATGCGTTCAATATATGTTGACCTGATGTTTGTAGTGTGCGCAACGTGTCTACATGTGTTGGAGATTCCGAAGAAAAGGAAACGCAATTGTGGCGTAAGAAAATAAAAATATTTTTTTGTACAACATGAATTGGGCGGTACCTAGCACCACCTAGCCTAGCTACGTGCGATTACTCTGCTTGACCCTGCCATCTGGTGGCAAGCGATTTAACATCCTTTTACGCTACGCGGCTACGCCATAATTTCGTGTTACCGTGCTGAGATAAGCCAAGAGGTTGCTTCGGATTTGCTTTTTTTTGAGAGCGGCTTTTGGTTTTGCGGGCGAATGATTTTCACTCCTCCGTGATGTGCGGTTGACGCTACGGTTGACGAAGGAATTGTGGCTCGAGGAATAGCAAAGGTAGGACATAAAGTGCGCGAACTGAGTGCCGGTTGTCTCCGTTGAACATCGCAGTGCTGACGATGAGAAGACTGAGTGACTGCATGCTTTCGAAACGTAAGTTTGTTTACCTGCAGGGGTAAAGAAACTTCGGAAATATATACAGTTCGCGGAAAGCTCGTGTTACGTTTTTATTTCCTGCTCCTCTCGCTTTGTGCAATAGACTTAGTGTTCTCGTTAAGCCTTACCGAGCTCGATTTGCTCGATTCGTGGCCGCCATAATGAGATGCAGTCGACGGAGGAACTTTTCCTCCCCTGCTTAAGGGACGAAAGTTTCTCCCTTTCTGAAGGAACATATGTGTCAAGAGCGTTCCTCCCTTTAGGGAGGACTATACTGACCCTTTTTTCTAAGAGTGTATCATCCATCCATGGCAGACAGCGTTTTGGCAGGTGTTATGGCAGGCTGCCGTCAAAATAAGGTAGGTGATATTTCGTGCTTGATTGAAATTGTTTGACGAAACATGTTTTTGAAACTCGGCGTGAACGGTAGCCCGATCTTTCAGAACCCACTGAAAGTTTCATGAAATCGCAGCACCGGGGAAAAGCAGCACAGCACGCATCGAAAGTCGCATCGAAAGAAGCATCGAAAGCAGACGCCGGTACGGAGTCGGCTTTCAATGCGAGTCTGCGCCGCTTTTCCCCGGTACTGCGCTTTCGTAGAACTTTCGCCGGGTCCTCAAAGATGAAGCTACCGTTCACGCCGGGTTTCAAGAATCTGCTTCCTCGAACAACTTCAATCAAGCACGAAATATCACCCACGGTACAGTGTACTAGATCCACGGCTATTTTATGGCAGCCTGCCGCCATTGCGCTGTCCGCCATGTTACTATGATAGCTAGAGATAATATCACTCTACCAAAAAGATGGCCGACGGTGGCCGCATTCCCGTCCATAGGCGGAGCTGGTCAAACGCGATCCAGCAAATAGACACCGAGATCAGTGGTTGGCAGCAAAAGCGCCGCCGTTATGCAGACGCGTTTTTTTTTTTTTTTTTACTTTAAGTTTTGCTTTTATTGTCCGCATTTATTTGTTAACCGAAGGTAAATTTCAAAAAGGTTATGTTTATTTTAATAGACCACGGTGGTCGCGATAAGGAAGTAGCGCCATCTATCAATACGAACGCCAAGCATTCCCCGCTACTGAACCCTTGTCGTCTGCGTCGCTCCCCGCCGTAGACCCTGGCAAGTTTCTTGGCTTATTATTTACAGAAAGAGAACTATACGGTTTATAATTTTACAAGAAAAAACCGACCTGTGAAATGCACCATTGACGAAAAGTGTAGATTGCTACGTGCAGGCGTTGATTTTTATGGTCCATTTTAGATCGAGCCTGGTGACTTGAACCACGCTATAGGTTTTACGCAAGATAGGTTGAACATCATAAGATTATTAGGACGACAGACAAAGAGCAGGGGAGGACAGGGCAAGGAAGGACAGGAACTTGTCCTGTCCTGCACTTTATCGTCCTTTGTCTTTCGCGCTAATATTTTTATAATGCTATATTCATGTTCGACCGTTTTACTGCCTAATTTCTAAAAAAACTTAAACGCCTCTCCAGCCTATAGCATCCACCTAGGGTTGAAGCAAAATAAAAGAAATCTATCTCAGTTATCTTTTTTACACATCCTCCAAATATTCAACTTACGTTCCCAATAAGACAGGGCATATAATCAGGAAGCCATGTCAATGTGACCCTGAGTTTGCCGTCGCTCAATTTAGAATAGCAATAAAGGCGGCAGCTGGGAAGATCAAGACCTATCTGGAAGAAATATATATTTTAGAGAAATATCAGCAGAGCTCTTTCTCACTGGTGGCGTTAAATTGGTCAGTGTATATTCGTACTGAAACTGTTTAATGTAACAATGTTGTATGAAAGGCTTCCTGGCAACACACTTCTTAAAAGCTCAGATATTCGGAAGTACTAAAGTGCATATCACCATCGTGTTCTGCTAAATTTCTCTTGAAAACCGTGATTTTCAGATCGAAAAAAGTATGCAATATGGTTGATACTACCCTGAAGCAACCGTCTAAAAAAGCTACACCCACTTTTTGAGATGTTTCAAAATATTTTAGATTCAGTCGTAGATATATAGCACAGTGACACAATTAAAGTAATTATCTCATGTTATTTTCATTGGAATTTGTAGTTTAATTCACTAAATTCACAATGCGCAAATCTGTTTTTCGCTATTAACTGAGTTTCGTTTTCTCGGGTCAAACGATATGCATACTTAAAAAAAAATGTTGAGGGCACCTAAGCACTTCTTATGAGTTGTGAATGCGAAAGCATTCATGTCCACTTGAACGCCGCTGTGTGCTGGCGTGGACGGCTACGTTTCGCTACTGTCGAGGTTGCGGCCTCCGTAGATGCCTCAGGCGCCGCGATGTTCTTCGGCGCTGAGAGGAAAAGGGACCGCAGAGCCGGCAGGGAGTGCGGCTAGCAGACGGAGCGAGAATTTTTTCCCCCTTCCTCCCCCTCCCTTCCTCCCCTCCTCTCCCCTCCCCCTCCCCCCCCTTTCCCCGCCGGTCCGGTCACGCCTGACGCGGCTGCCGCGCCACTGCCACCCTCTCCGTTTTACCGGCACACGGGCCGCAGCGCCAGAGGAAAGGGCTTCTCTGTGTGGTGGCGTTTCGTGGTACTATGACGCTTTCTTTAGACCTATGACGCGTCCCAGCCATTTTAACTGCCGTTTTAGTAGCCCGTTTTTTGAAGTCACGGACAACGCCGACTGCGCTTCGTGGAAGTCGCAGCCTTTTTAACCTCCTTTAGTTTCCTGTTTTTCGGGGTCACAGACAACGCCGACTGCGCTCCATGTGACAGGGAATGCTTTCGCATTAATAAGAACTGAAAATAGACTTTGATCAAGGTTTAGGGTCCGAATGAATATTCGAAACAAACTGACGCATACAGCACAACTAAGATTTTTCGCGAAATGAAAATTTTGATCAAGATTGAAACTTCTATACAAATTGGGCAGTCAAGCAAGGCACCGTCGCCTTTACTTTAGATGCTGTAGAGATTTTCGAGTGCGGTAGTCTGCTTTATTATGTCGTATGTGGAAAGAACGGTTACGCATTCTGATTATTGCGAAGCTCAGAAGAAGCAACCAAAATCCTTTCCAACCTGTCACAGTGTGTACTATCAACATTATTAAATATAACACGGTGTTTATTAAAAAAAAAGACAAAAAATATATCTAAATGCCAAAGTACTAGAAATTCGGTAACAAAGCACTGTTTTGACGCTGCAAGAAAAGACATAAAAATGGCCGTTTCCAAGGGGAAGTATAAAAACCAATACGATTTAAATAACTTCAGGTTTACCATGGTGATTTAAATCAAACCTTACCCAACAAATATATCCGGAAATATTCTTTTATTTACCGTTTGTTTATCACTGAATCCTATTTTATGTTTATTCTTACATATACATTAAAAAAATATCGAGCTAATCTGGGCAAATTAAAGCGTTGGGCTTAATCTCTACCTTCCAATTTGTTTATAAGCTACGTAAGGACCAATTGTAACACAATCTGAACGCCAAAGAAACTAAAACAGGTAATGCTATTGGAATCAAGTCAGAATTTTAAAGAGAAATCGTCATATTTTTACCTATCTAAAGAAATCAAACTTCCTTGTTCTGTTACGGCATCAATAAAACGTATTATTTAAATTTCACTTCATATTTACAGTAATTCCTTACTTCGCATTGTTATCAGTGATCAATCGAACAGATCAATATATCTGCAAAGTTGAAAATATATCTTGGCAAAGAATCACTATTTTATAGCTACAGTTATTTTTTATCATTACTCTGATTTAAATATTTAAATCGAATAGCTCAAATATCAGTCGAATTAGTCCAACATTTAGTTGTTGTTTTTTTAATTATGGACTTTTTTCCCTGACCGGTTCACATTCATATTCAGCTCGTACCTTCGTTTCCCGTAATGCAGATCTGTGGCACAAGCGTTATTTCACGCGGCCACTTCACCGCAGAATAAAGTATAAACCGCATGTAAACGATTTGGCAAGCGACGAGACAAGCGACGGCGATCGCTTCGCTGTCACTTGGTCAGTCGCGCAACAACGCAAACCGCATAAAGGCGACATGACCAAGCGAGCAAGGCGATGAGCTACGTTTTCTAGAATTGCAGAAACCGAGCGACACGACGTGCGACAGTGAGAAATCTTCGTCGCTCGTCGCTGATTCTCATCTCTGTCGCCGTCGCTCGTCTCGTCGCTTCGCTAAGTCGCTTACGTGCGGTTCAGCCTTAAAGGTGGAAACATGTGCAGACACCCAAACGAAAATCCTACAAAAATCAAATCACACACACAAAAAATGCATGCTGTTTTTTAAAAGCAGTGGTACAAAGGAGTTATCGTATATTTCTGTCGTTCCGCTAAGCTTTCGGAAAACTCCCTGCGAGTATCAGAAATCTGCAGGCAAAGCAGTTATAACGCAAATAACTACTTAAAAAAAAAAAAAAAAAACGTGTTGTTGTTTTGGCGTGTCCTCGTTTTGGAGAGCGCAGTGAAATGGGAAAGCGCTCAATGGAAACTCCGTATTTGGTGCCCCTAAAACGCAAAGTTAATAAAAAAAAAAAAGAAACATATTTGCGATTGCTTTATTATCAAAATTTGCGCGTGGTCCTTTTTACAAAAGAAGGCCAGGAATTATTTTCACAAGTTTTGATTTTTGTGCGATTTTCTGTAATATTTAGCATACCGTTCCCGCCATAACAAACCTTGTGCACGCGAATGACAACAGTTTGTGAGGGTAGACTAGCAAGGTGTACCCAAAAACGTATTTTTTTGTCTTTGCCTTTTTTTTATTTAGGCTTACGGAGTTTAACATTCTTGTGTAGCTAAAAAAAATGGCCTGTCTGTGTTACTTATGTGGGCAGCTTACCTTGGTTAGATTACCTTTTGCCTCTCGTTCACATTTCTTGTGAACAACAGTTTGACATTTCTGCGCTATTTCAGTCGTACTGATATGACGAAGAATTTCTATTTGTTGAGAGGCGGCACCTGTGAATTAAATACATGATTCACTGTACCCTTAAAGTGTTCTGGTGTTTTTTTTTTAAGCTCTAGTTTATTTTTAGTGAACATATCTGATCTTGGTATGGACTATAGAGCCTGCCAAGCTTTTTACCGTTTTTTCCCCCAGCCTCCCGATCTTTCTTTAAAAGTGTGCAATTATTTATAATTTCTAATATTAAAAATAACCTTTAGGTTAGTTCAATTTCTGCTGTCGCTTTAGGTATTTAACAAGTCCTCGCAACACGTTTGTTTAGTTCGCTTGAAATAGAATAAGACAATGTTGAATAAATCAGGATTCCATAGTCGGGTACAACATAAGAGCGAAGGGTATAGAGGAGGCGAGTTCCTCCTTGCCCCCTCTCCAGCGTTTGCCCCGCTAAAGTGGGAAGAGTGGCAGTTTGCGGGCGGCGCTCACAGTTTGCTTTCCGGTTGTACCCGACTATAGATCAGTGTTGGAACTAACGCGTTACAAGTAACGACGTTACTGGTAACGCGTGAGTTTTTCGGCTAACGTACTAACGTACTTGTTAGGATCCCAAATGACTTACGAGTAAAGTAACGTCGTTATTATTTTTGCGCTATTTCCTCTCAAATTACGTCACCCGTTATTCGTTACCTTTGATTACAAATGGGCGCATGATTGTTTGAAAACAAAATAATTTTCATTATGTACACTACGTAAAACTGGCAAGGAAACTCCAACAAAGCTATGTATAAGCGGAGTGGTTTCAAACTCTTTCGGAAGACACTTCTAACGTTCCCACGACCGGGCCCAAAAGGCGCGAGATTATCGCTATGCGTAACTTCTAAGCGTCCTTAGTGACCGACACGCGGGTTTGACGTCACGGAGCTGCGGCGGCGCTGCGATCGCACGGGAGCCGTGTGGTGTGGGCAAAAGGGCGCACGTTTTGCATGGGCGTCATAGCATTTCAGCATGCCGCGAAGCTGTGTAGCCGTTAGTTGCGCCGAAAGATACAGCAAAAGTAGCGGGATGAGTTTCCCGAAGTTCCCGGCTGACTCTGAAAGGCATAGAAGGTGGATAATTGCGTGGATCGAAAATAATGGTCGCCTCGCGCGAACGACCGTTCGTGCGGCAAGCACTTTCTTGAACGCAAGTGTGGTTTCCATTTCAATTTGCGTCCTGAGGCTTGCTTATCAGCAGGAAAACCGTCGTCTGATCGAGACCTGCGGGATTTTGTTCTCACGGTGTTCATGCACTAATCATCGGCCAAGCGCTCGTCGGAGGCTCGCTCCGCCCGTGTAGCAGAATGGGATCGGCAACAGAACGACAGTGTTGTAGGCGTTAGCGCAAAAAAAGTAACGAAATGCGTTGCTCCCTACTTGCGAATAAAATGAACGAGTTACTTCCCTACGTTACCTAAAAATAAAAGGAACGGGTTACCGATAAAAAGTAACGCACGTTACTTCTGCGTTACTTTTTAAATTATGATTTAACCCTTTTTCCTGTTTTGACGATACAGGTATGCATAAGCTCATATATCAAGTTTCTGCATAAGCATTGTGTTTATGCAGAAACTGAACATAATTACTTTATCTCCTTTTACGGTTTCGCCTAAATACTCACGAGAAAAAACGCAGAAAACTCGGGAATTCACATTGCTTGACGCCTAAAAACACGGAAAAAATTGAAGTGTAATTTTTTTAAGACTTGGGAAGTAGTAACGAGTAACGTAACTACGTTACTTACAATAGTAACGTAAGCCCGTTACCCGTTACTGTGTCCAAAAAGTAATGAGTAAGTTACTACGTCACTGAAAAAAGTAACGCGTTCCTGGTAACGCCGTTACTTGTAACGTGTTACTGCCAAGACTGTAGAACGGACAAAGCGTTACTGCTTGTCATGCCTTGTGGTCATGAGGGTAGGAAAAATATCGTACCTTGACTCGAGGACGCTGTGTGTATTTAATCAATGAATTAATAAAGCACTCCCGCAGACCCACAGTCTGCTGATCCCGCCGGCAATGCGGAAACCGGCTCGAAGTAATTGTAGGCCTCGAGAGGCTTGTACGCCTGCACCGTGTCGGCGTGAAAGGGCTTGGCGAAAAAACTAAATAAACGATGACCCGAGCCGTCGACTTCCGTGGCAGCAACTTTACGTCGGAAGTCCAGCAGGCCTTGTTTACGGCGTACGGGTCCTCGTAGGCAACGCCGTCCACGCACAGTTTGTTTCGATACCGCTGCCGTTCAGGCTCGGGTAGTGAGCTCAAAAAGTCGGGCATAGCATACAACGTACGTTGTCAGAAAATACGACGCAGAAATAAAGCTAAAAGCGTCCCTACAACGTCAACAGCGAGCGCACGCCACACAACGCAGTGGCGAAAACACGGAGTCAGGCCGCTTTTGCCCACATTGCTTCCGCGCATGCGCGGCATTCCGGCCGTGTTGGTAAACAGAGCCGCTCCGCGTGTCGGCCTAATGTCACTGTTGCCGTACCCTGAGCAGCCGTCTCGCTGGAAAAAGACACCCGCTCAGACGGCAACACTCTGCCGCCGCTCGAGGGATTTTTCCTCGCGCCCCTATACCTCTCCCGCTGGTCACCTCCTTCTCTTCAAAACAAATAAATTATGGTTCTGTCAACAACAAAAAAGGATGAACTATAAGTTTGGAAGCGCTGACCTTCCCACGCTTTGAACCAGAACAGGTGAACAGGACCATCGGAATAAAGTTGGATTAACACGTTGCCAAACAAACACTTTTTTTTATTCATTTATCCCGCATACATCAAACGACTGGAACCACCTTCCAGCAGATATCGCAACTATACCTGATTATTCTCTTTTTCGCCAATCTTTGTCTACATTTCTGTTTGGTGAGCCAACATGAGTCATTTTATTTTGTTTATTTTTTTCCGTAAAATATATTGCTTGCCGCTTTTGCCAATGGCTGTGTGTTTTTGATATTTCAATTTCTTGTTGTTTGTTTTTTATTGTTTTGTCAGTTTGTTTTATTTTGCTTTGCCCCTCCCCTCTACAATGCTTCGGCGCTTGAGGTATGTACAATAAATAAATAAATAAAGGTGTGTCAGCATAGCCGGGTGCTGACGTGTCGTTAAGGGGAAAAACGACGTTGGTTGCTGAAAGAATAAAATAACGTGTTTTTTTTTTTACCGGATTAACTTTGATTACATGAAGAGGTCTATATTGCGTTCGTTACGTGGTGTGCATTAGGTTGTTCTTTTCAGAACGGTTTCTTCTTCCCAGTCAGGTGACATGGGCAAGGTTCAATTCTCAGAATCGCGCTCGCGAAGCGTCACGTGTCTGAGGATGTAGATTCCATATCCCGCCCAGGCCAGACAAACAGGCTTGGATAGCTAAACATGTTCAGGACATACATTACAGTTGTGCGAATCACGCTCTCGAAGCGTCATGTGTTCGAGGATATGCACTCCACATCCTGCTCAGGTCAGACAAACAAGCTGGCCCAGCTAACAAACGGCAAGGTTATCGCAGCATTGAACGCCGACCGTCACCAGAGAAACGGCACCATCTTTTAGAATCCCTGCCGCTGTGGTGCTGTTTGTGTGAGTTTGCAACGTATAAATGTGATCTGCAACCCACTCCTCTGTTGTAATGCTTCGGCACTGCAGAGTACAAATAAATAAATAATCACTTTGAACAAGTGTATTGTGGCCGAAGTTTATAGAGGCGGTTTATTTTAAACAGCTGGTCATATACTACCAGCAAAGCACAAAGTAACGAAACACTAATGAGAAAGTAACGTGCGGTCCGTTAGTCATGGCAAGTAACGACACCGGTATTTCTTTACATTTGCAAAATAGTAACGGAGCTTTGTAATTAACGCGTTAGCTTTTTTTCAAGGTAATGAGTAACGCTACTTCGTTACTTTTCGGTAACGGGCACAACACTGCTATAGATAGGATTTCTAATTTTCCACAATACTACCAGCACTGTTAGGAGTCAGAAAAAGAGTGGAAGACATATTGAATGCAACTTACAAATAAAACTAGAAACAATTTCATAATTTTTGCAGGAGCACACATGTTCGCAATCAAAGTCCGACGTGACATTCCCTTACTTTTGTATTAAATTTGATATCGTTTAAATAAAAGGCTTTTTTTTAATTTTTACATGAATCTTTCTCTTTAAAAAAGTTAATGGAAAGAAACCTTTAATTATATACATTATGCAGCAGTTTTAAGACATAAAGCCTTCAACCAACAAAGATTATTGTCTGACGCCTTTCACCTTTCAAGCGTGTCAGGCACTTGCTAAGCTGCCTATGGAGATATTTTTGTCTTTGGTCACCGCCATCAAGTTTTTGCACAGGAAACTCAAGAAAAGTGCTTTCCCAGAGTGAGAAAAAGAACTCAAGAGCTGCAGAAAGCGCCTCATATATCTCGTGTAACAATGTCGTCATAATCTGGCAGACTAAGATCACGCTATTTAAAGATTGTGGGCGAAAACGCCAAATATGCACTGCGCCGGTTGCCACAACCAACTAACTGCGCCCATTTCCGACTTGAGCGGCGTCGCCGTCGCCGTCGGCGTAACCGCGAGTTGCATTATGGGACCTTCCCATAATGACGTCAAACGGTGCCTAAATTTATAGGGAATATTTCCCCGCCAAATTAAGCCGGGAAATTTTTCCCACTAAATTTGGCGGAAAAACGTCCTTGCTAAATTTAGCAAAAAACTTTCCCCGCTCGGAAACATTTCTTTGCTCAATTTTGCGGAAAAACTTTCCCCGCTAAATCTAGCTGAAAGATTTCCCCGCTAAATTAGCGGAAAATAATCCCCGGTAAATTTACCTGAATAGTTTCTCCGCTAAATGTACCGAAAAACTTTCTCCGCTAAATTTAGCGAAAAAATTTTCCCCGCTAAGGAAAAATCTTCCGCTAAATTTAAAGCAAAAAATTCTCCGCTAAATGTACCGAAAAAATTTCCCGCTAAATTTAGCGGGAAAATTTCCCCGCTAAGTTTGGCAAAAAAATTTTCCCGCTAAGTTTAGCAAAAAAATTTCTTCGCTAAGCTTAGCGTAAAAAAATTTCCGGTATACATTTAGCGAAAAGATTTCCCTCTAGATTTAGCGGAGCATTTTTAGCTGAAAAAATTCCCCGCTAAATTTAGAAAAAACTTTTCCCCCGCTAAATACAGCGACAACTTAGCGCTAAATGGACGGTGAGCGGAAGATGAGGAGGGGAAGGGTGGGTGGGCATACCCTCCCCTCTTCCTCAAGAGCTGCGCTCTAATTTGGAATTACACAGAATTCTAGACATCTTTAATATTTTTTTTTTCTTTCAATAATTGGGTCATTTTTAAGGCTGTTATTTTACGCATTTGAGCTTTCTGCCTTCTTACCTTTGACTTCTCTGTGGCTAATGGTGGCATTAAGTACGACCGCAGCCGGGTCAACATGAAGAACGAAAGAAGAAATCTCGCACGCATGACCTGTTAAGGTTAGACTTTTCAGTTACAAGTTAGAGAGAATGTTCTATTTACCAATGATGATGATTTGCAGACAAGTCATAACCAACACAAAATTTGCCATGATCATCGATGAGAGTGAACGTTACGTGTGTTGCTGTGGTGCAGCGTGTTGCGAGTCTAGAACCAAAAGAACGCGTTGATCAGGTTAGCGTCCGAGTACGAGATACAATGCCTTGTTATGAAGTGAATGTTTAAAAGATAAAAATAGAAAGAAAAAAAAACATAGATGTGTCTCGATTTCAGCCTGGGTCTATAATGCACAGCTGGTTTTCAGATGCTAAGTTAATGCGTCACAGACGCTTGAACCCCACCGTGCAGCAGGAGCGCTTTGTCCATCTGGTGGCTTTTACAAACGGGTGTCTTCCTGCCACTGTAACTTGCGGCTTTGGCATGGGGAGCACTTTCATTTTTCCTGTACATTGTGTATATTTAAAAATAAATCGTGAAAAGGGGTGGGAGGAGAAGGGCAACGGGAAAAACGTCAAGACAGCAGCGGGAGTTAAACCAGCGACCTTCGTTTCTCTAGAACCAAGATTTGTATCGTTTGAGTGAACAGCGCAAAAATTAGCAAAGTTCAGCTTTCATTTTCCTCGCGTCGACTTGCCTGAGAAGGACATACGGCGGGAGCAAAGCTTATCTGTATATACTCTCTGCTAAAGCCTCAGAAAACACGGGAACTGACCATACATTGAGTTAGTTCGAAGAGCACGGATGTACTTACGAATTACTCCTAGGAAGTGTGATCCGAGTTGAACTGCTAAATAAAGTGTGGCCTTTCAGTGCTTGGTGTGCCCTTTTTATGGCACGGTAGGTACTGGCCAAACTAGCATAAAAGTTTGCCAGGACCCGGACGTAAAAGAAGAAAGCCTTTAACACATTGCTCATTTTTGTTTCTTCGAGGCTTTCGTTATACGACAAAAATCGGAAATTGCTCCTCGCCTAAGCGACGTGGTTGACGTCACAACGCAGTGCTCTCATTGGAGGGTTGGTCGGGTATGGCGCCAGTGGACGGTGAACTCTCTTGTGAAGGCTGTTTTGACGGCAACCGTGTTTGCTCTTAAAGAGACCGATCTCACTAAGCCTTCCGCGCATGCTTGACGTCACCATAAGTGCATGGAAGCAGGCGCTTGACTCGCGCAGAGCTTCAGCGGGGTGTTCGAGCGTGCAGAAACACTGCAGTTCCCATGACTAATGCGGGAAGCGGCGGCGTAATGAAATTAACTGGTGAGATCGGTCTATTAAGCAAGTGTAAGTACATGTGCACCTGCCGCTGATGTAATAGTTTTATTCTCTCCGTGAAGCTGTTTAGACCAAATTTAATAGTCACAAGAGTATCGTTTTAAGGTCGAGGGACTATAAAATTCTAGCAAAGATCTCAGCGAAGAGGTTTGACCGGGACATTAGCTGCGTGGTTGGGGACCATCAAGCTTATCGGATTCGTGGTAGAAGCATCCAGGACAACCTGCACATTATGAGAGTCATTTGCGAGGACGCGTTAGTGGAGGACAGCCCCCTGGCCGCGTTCCAAGTGGACCTCAGCAAGGCATTTGATCGTGTCTCTCGCAAGTTTCTTTTCAGGCTACCGGACCATTGTGTCATAGGCGAGACGCTCTGCAGATAGGTCAGGATCTGTTTCAAGAATATATCGACCAACATCAAGGTCAACGCAGGCGGCCTCACCAAACCTATCCCCGTTCACTCATCGGCTTGTCAGGGATGCCCCATGTCACCGGTACTGTTCTCGCTTTATCTTAAACCATTGGGCCGGCGGATCATCAACTACAGTGCCATCAGAGGATTCAACTGGACGCCAAGTTTGCTAAGGGTACCTGCATACGCAGACAACTTAACTCTGTTGTGCTCATGCAGTGACGTTAATCTAGCGATGGCACACGTTTCGGACTCCTGCAGAGTTTCGGCTGCTCGTCTGAACGAAAAGAAATCGACCGGTTATACGTGGTTGGGAGCCTGGGACGCTCGCCCAGAGAGTTGCCTGGGCACCTCATGGAGTTTCGCAGCGACAAACTATTTAGGCATAAGCTTGGCGCCCGAGTGCCTCAGGAGTGGTGACGGAGGCATCCATCTGAAAAGTTTGCATGCCAAAGCACAAGACTGGTATGGGAGATATTTGTATTTCTTTAACCGTAGTAGGGTCTGTTTTTCTGTATTTTTTTCCTACCGTGTGGTACGCGGCACAAGCGATGCCTTGTAAGAGGATCAATGTTCAGAAAGTGAACCGGTTCTGCGCCTATTCGAGCGCATGCGGCGCAGCAATTTGTGTTCTGCCGGGAGAAAGGTGGTATCCGTCTAGTCAATGTAGAACTGATGCTCCAAGCGCAAATATTTATTTATTTTCGCAGTCAACGCAACAAGCATTTGCGGAAAGCAATTCAAAAGCATGGCGGAAAATGCACAGTTCAGTGGATGCCGGTACCTAATGCATGGTCCGAGGGAGTTTGCACCCTCAGATTCTACAAAGATATTGAGCGAGCATTGAAAACCTTTCACGGGTTGTTTTTGGACGAATACCTGGCAAAAGTGAAACGTCGCAGATTGTACTGGGATGCCCTGGAGCTGCCAATCCCCGTGCTCATGTACCGCGCGAAACTTCGTGACACATCGTCCAGTGTTTTTAAAAGGCTTTCGTTCTTTCCCGTTCAGACTGGCACAAAGGACTCTTTCTTTATTTACATACTGAGGTTTTATCCTTAAAAACCTGGCTGGACAAGAAGAGCTGCTTTGTGCCATGGCCAATGAATTCTGCACTGCGCCCCTATGGGGAGGACCTGAGACTTGTATTCTTTGATTGCACGAATGCTCAACTGTTCTGGGCCAAACTAAGACAAACGCTTCAGGCCCAGCTCTACCCGGAATGTGAAAGCTGTAAATTTTTCGAGTTTGGCAAAGGCACAGACAGAAGCTGCCTCAGAAGCTTGCCCCTCTTGGTCTCCATGCTATCGGCGCTCAAGGACTGACCACCTCTTTGTGGTAGCAGGTGGGAAACCTGCTTGGCGCCTTTTTAATGATGGCTTCCATTATGTTTCTTCAGTCCTCAGTAAGTGAGAGTGAACAGGATATAACGACTGGAAGGCGTTTCAAAAGCGTTTGTCTTGGCTGAGTTTCTGAAACTTTTCATGGTGCCCACCGGGGTCGCTTCTGTATTTGGATCGATGTAACCGGTTCGTGGTCCCGATACTCTACGAGGAAAGATTGAACGTCAAATATGCTCTGCCTTCGGCACATGAGTTGGGGCGTTTAACATGTATATAGCATCATAAGGTTTTAAATGAAAAGGGGGGAAAAAGTGAAAAAAGTGTGATGTTTTATTGATGGCTGTATGTCGAGTGTATTGTGTGCGCTCAATATATACGAATGTTAAGCTAATCCTTGTAGTATGCGTAATGTATCTACAGGTGTGTATAATAAGGGTGCCCGAAGCGCGAAGGTGACGTGAGCAAATAAAATATTTTTGTAGAACATGAATTGGGCGGTACCTAGCACCATCTAGCCTAGCTACTTGCAATTACTCTGCTTGACCCTTCCATCTGGTTGCATGCGATGTAACCTTTCACGCTTCGCGATAATAAAGGTGCCCGAAGGAACCGAAGTGCGATAGTGGCTTGAGAGGATAAAAGTATTTTGGGTAGTACATTAATTGGGCGGTACCTAGCCTAGTTACTTGCAATTACTCTGGTTGACCCCGCCATCTGGTGGCAAGTTATTTAACCTTATTTCACGCTTCGCGATAACTTCTGGTTACCGTGCAACAACTGCTTCGAATTTGCTCTTTTGAGAGCGGCTTTTGATTTCGCGAATGGCTTATCACTCTTTCGTGATGTGATGTTGACGAAGGAATTGTGGCCCGAGGAATAGCAAAGGTAAGACGAAAGTGCAAGAAGTAACTGGGTATCAGTTGTCTCCGTTTAACATCGTAGTGCTGACGACGAGAAGACTGAGTAACTGCTTTCGAAACGAAACTTTCTTTACCTGCGGGGGGAAGCTGGCATCGGAAATAAATACAGTTCACGGAAAGCTTGTGCTACGCTTTCATTTGCTTCTCCTCTCGCCCTGTGTAATAGTGATAACCTCCTCATTAAGACTTTTTTAGCTCGATTTGCTCGATTCAGGGCCGCCAGAATGAGATGCAGGCGACGGAGGAACTTTGCTACCCTGCTTTCAGGGACGAAAGCTTCTCCCTTTCTAAGTGAACATAGGTTACAAGAGCGTTCCTCCCTTCAGGGAGGACTATAAATACTCTTGTTTCGAAGAGTGTGTGGTCTTTACGTGCAGTACGCAGCGGTGATTACACGAACGCGTGCTGGTACGAAACTCATCCAGATCGAAACGGGCAGGGAATGGCGATCGAACCCAGGAGGTTCTGCAGCGCGAGCTTACGCTCCACGCTCTGAGCTGACACGGCGATTGACATTAGGAGATTTCGTTAATCGTGTTCAAATCAGTTCTCAACGTGAGAGGTATATTTCAATCTTCATTTTTTTTGCGAAGCAGTAGAACGGTAAACGAACTTCATATTTTATTTCTATCGTGTCGATCTGCTTGAAGAGGACATACGGTATGGGCCAAAACTTTATCCGCAAACAATTTTTGCTACCACCTTATAAGGTACAGAGACCGACCATACATCGAGTAAGTTAGAAGAGCTTGGAATACTTACGAATGACTCCCAAGAAGTATGATCGCTGGAGTTAAGCTGCTGAATAAAGTGTGGCCTCACAATTTTGTCACGACCCTGGCGGAAGAGAACAAAGCCTTTAAAGCATTGCGGACTTTTTTTTTTTTTTCAAGGCTTGCGTCATTCGACGCTAAAATCGTAAGATGCTCCTCGCCTACGCGATGTGGTCGACGTCTCGGTTCGGTGCTCTGATCGGAGGGTAGGTGCACAAGAGGACGGTGAACTTCCTTGTAAAGCCTGTTTCACAACGGTAGCCGATTTTACTCTTTAAATGGATACTACAACAAAATTTCGGCGCTTATTTTTTTGTCTATATGCGTTCAAAAAAGCAGTATCACATCGGACACACCAATAAGGTGTTGAAAAAGACACGA